TAATAAATAAGGGAAAGAAAGCATCTAGCCTTATGGGTTGAGAGGTCTTTTTGATTATAATCGCCGTTATGTTTCCGTTTTAAATGTAAGGCTGTTGCATAAAATAATACAATTTTAATTTATAAGTGACTTTGCTGCGTCCCCCTGGATGTTTCAATAACGCATAATAATCTTTACACCATATTAAAGACACAGCAGACTAAACGTTTTCGAGAGTTTTTGTCAAGTTTAAACGGTGTGTTTGTGCGTGTTTATATGCCTGCATATGTGTGTTGGTGTGAGAGATTGAGCAAATGAGCGCTCCCTTCACAGCTCTGGTAAGCTGCGAGCAGCTTCTTTCTTTTTGTTATTTATTTTGCAGATAATACACAATATGAATAAAATAGAAAGACATAAAACTTTACGTGTACCCTTTTGTAGACTTAAAACAAGTGTCATATCTTTATAAAATAGCCTAAGCATTATTGAAATATAATTTAAAGAATTACAAATATCTGATATAATAAAATCGCATGAAATAAATAAACCATTATAAAACAAGCAAAAGCAACAAGGTAGGCCTTTATAGCCTACATAAATGAAACCTTTAAAGCCATATTAACCAAAAGCCATTTTACAAAGGCTTTGTTAAAAAAAAAGATTTTATATATTCTCTAAAAACAGTAAACACCAGAGAAGGTTTAAAATATTATTTATTTATTTATTATTTATTTAGGATACGATGATAATAATCAAATCATGCAAATGAACTGCGACCTTTTTTCAGTTAACCAAATGTGCAGTGCCACTTTAAAAACGGATCAGGGGAAACTACAAAAATAAGTGTGTTCTGTGTCCCCAAACAAGCATTGATGTTTTTATATGACGCGCTAAAATTGAAAAATGAAATTTACATGAAGAGCTTTATTAGTGAAAAGCTGCTGAGCGCAACGCAATATATGCTGTTTTATTACTCGCTCTGTGCTTAAATAGTCTACTTAACACTTTCCTTAAGATCACAGATACAATATGCAACATCTAATTCCGGGGACGTTCTGGGGGCAGGGTTTGCGTGTCATGCTGCAAGCTACTAGCCCGAAAGTGAAAACGCGACATGATTTCAGCCTCACTGATGCCCATTAACACCTAACAGACAAGGTTATGAATAGGGGGAAGGGGTCTCCACTCTTTAAGTGTTTTTCATAAACATGAATACACAAAATCTAAAAATAGGACGGATGGCTTAACAAAACCTATGCGTTTAAAAACGAAACCGCATTAAATATGGGGCCTTATGAAAATGAATGTTTCTATGCACAACAACTGAACTTAATGTGTTATTTAAAATATCTATATTACGCTCCAAGCATTCGCCAAAACGAATATATTTTTACGTAAAAACACAGAACATAGCTGAATAGAGTGTTGCCTGCTTTAGACGATAGGTTATTAATTATATTATAAATGGTTATGTTCAGGTCAGTGAAATAATACCTTTATTAAATAAAATGGTGGGCCAGTGATTCCCTCGCTGTCATCAGTGCATGGGTTAATGAGCTTAGGAGAATTCTGCTTTGCATTTTTCCATGCATTACTAACATCACTAAACCAGACATTTGTTTTATAAGTTAACCAAATATTCGCGCAGATTCAGCAGTTTTTTCTGACGCGTTTGCCATTCATGCCAGTCAGTGAAAAAAAGAAGTAACTGTGGCCCTGTTTGCAGGTATTAAGATTCGTTTTCATCAATCTGATGCAACTTTTATTATTTACAGGACGTAAAAATGCAATTAAAAGTTTCAAATCAAATCAATTCAATTCAATTCAACTCAATTTATAAAAGACTAGCCTATTTTATGCATTAAATAATGAAATATAACTAATTTCCTTTATTTCTGATCAGACCATGCATTTTAGACTATTTTACAATTGTAATATGTGCATATGCTTTTTTTAAAATAACATTCGTCTAACAAATATTTTAGCACATCGAAAGTAATTAAATGGCCTGTTTTTGATTAAAAACCTTTATGCAAAAGGATCAGAAACTGATCGCGCACGCGTAGGAAAATGCAGTTATGTGACACATGACATGCATGGCTCCTATGCCGCGTTTTTAGGATAAATTGGCATATAGGTGCTGCTTTAAATAGAATAAAACTATTTAAAAACACATTAAAAACTTCACAAAGCGTATCTTATGGAAAAACACCAATTGCCGGGCTCTGCTTTCGGTTTTAAAAGAATCAAGCAGCTTTAAAAAAATATAATTTGCTGAAGAGAAATGACAGAAAAAAAAGATTAAACATATCGGGACTGTTAAAAGAACATTTCTCTTTAATATATTCTTTCGACTCCGAAACATCAGCTAAGATTATGTATTACGGAGTGTCTCTATTGCCTGCTTCAGCAGTGCGTCCGGCTGGTTATGATCGAGGAGGCGGAGAGAATGCGCTGTTTAGTTTCGGCTTGATATATTTAAATAAAAACTAACACAGAACTGCTTTTAACGCTCAAAAAGTTAAACTAAAATGCACAACTCTTGTTGGTTGCACCCGCGGGATGCACAATAAACCTATCGCGCCATTATTTTAATTCTATATTCGTGAAGAATGAGCCATGAGATTGAGATTTTTGAAGGTGCTCTCCAGCGGCGAAGTTCCTGGCAGAGTAGCGGGTGAAAAAATGTGCATGCAGAAATTGAACAAGAGGAATAACATTTTAAATTATATAACAAGCATTGTATTCTTTCTAATCCCCGCCCAGTTTTAATACAAGTTGTGTTCTTCAATATTTGTGGCTGGGAAGTTTATTAAGAATATATTTATAATTATATATCATTAAATAATTACATATATATATATATATATATAGAGAGAGAGAGAGAGAGAGAGAGAGAGAGAGAGAGAGAGAGAGAGAGAGAGAGAGAGAGAGAGAGAGAGAGAGAGAGAGAGAGAGAGAGAGAGAGAGAGAGCCATTACAAGTAAAACAACAACAACAAAAAACAACAATTTTACTTTAAAGAAAAACAGATGTTTTGAGAAAAAAAAACTGAACAAAACTGAAACCAAATTATTAAAACTAAACTTGCGGGACTTTATTTATGTCCTGTGGCAAAATTATTTTTATTATACTTTAAGTTATCTGCTTGAAGTAGGCTAGGTCACATTTATCAATGGTAAGTTTTAGTCTAAGTTTACATCAATAACAATGTGCATTGTCCTTTACCATACAAAAAAGGAAGAAAAAACATTATTATACACCATAGCCGCAAATCTTTTTAAATGCATTAAAAAAGCAAGCACATATCTTAGCCTTACCTTGAGTTTGTTCACATTCTGCCAGTATTAACATACATGCTGTATTTTATTACAGTTCATTTTGATGAATTAGGTCTAACTGACAGCTTTTTCTTCTTTTTTCGCGGTTATGCGGCATTATATTTCACACGCATATGCAAGGTGACTGAAATTGAAATTAAAATACCAAACATACTGAGCCATTAATTAAAAAACAAAACAACAGTTATAGCTTCTTTAAAGGAGAACATTGACGTTTTGAAAAAAAAAACTGAACTGAAACTAAATTATTAAAGATAAACCTGCGAGACTTAATTTATGTTATGTCCTGCGGCAAAATTTGTTTTATTATACTTTCAGTGATCTCCTTAAGGTAGGTCAATTTATTTATTTATTTATTTGCTTTTGATGAAGCAGCATTCAACTTATCCTCTTTAGACCATGCCCCTGACCGTTTCTCAGTGTTTCGCCGCAATATCTTTAAATAAATAATTTATTTAGGCCTAATTTCATTATTAATTAGTTTTCATTATTCGTTTATTATTATGTACAATTGTTGAGACATAAAATAAGATAGTAAAATATAATCAACAACGAAAATTAAAACAAAAACAGAAATAAAAACATAAATGAAAATGTCTTGTCTTAGTCCTATCACAATAGCAAACACTGAACATCTCTCTATATTTAGGCTAAAAGACTGCTTTATTTATTTATTTAAGACTACTTATTTGTACTGAATGTTTGTGCTTTCATGTTAGTTGTCTTTTATTTCTTCAATTCTATTTTCCAAAACTAGTCCTCTTTGCACTTAAAAAGTTTACAATAAAGTGTGTTAACAAATTTTAAATGATTAATGAAGGAATTATAATGCTTTGACTTATTGTTTAATCTCATTTACAAGCACAGTAGCATATTTAAAGCTGCTGTAAAGGCTATTTCTGTCCGTTCGCATCCCGTCCCTTTGCGCCCCCTGGCGGCTCATTCACAAGCTGCTGTCATATACTAAAAACAGAGCGGCAGTTATTTCAAACGGCGGCGGTATAAGACGCGGCGGTAATAGTCACTTTGAACTCTCACCTACTGTATGTATAGTAAATGTTTTCACATGTACCAACATTTTAAAGTGGATTACAATACATGAAAGCAACTGTTTTGTTCTACGATCTTTTAAATATTTGACAAAATAAGGAAAAACTAAATTTTTTTTAACTCTTATCACACATTTCATTCAAGACAGTGAAAAGGTCGACAGAACCTGTAAAAGCACAGAAAATTCATTCAAACTTGACTTAAAAATAAGATTTTTTATTTATTTTTTACATAATTTCTGTAATGCTCCCTGCTGTTTGTGTTTTTTTGTCAGTGTGTGTTATTCATGAAATGTATGTTTTCTGATTGAGAATTTTTGTTGGTGGTTTTGTGAAACTGGCTTATTTTGTTACGCAGAAGAACTGTTGTGTTGGTCTGAGTAAGTTTTGTGGGAGAGCTGAACTCTTTGGCCAAGTGTCTTGTTGGTAACGCAAACTGTGTGAATTGTTTTGAAAATGTGGCTTTAGTATTGCACGAAGTGTGTTAAAAACAGTAAAAATCACGATTTACAAAGAAAACTGATGACAGAATCAGAATTTTTGCATCCAATAACCTTGCGCACAATATTGCCTCATGGAGATGTTCCAACATGAAAAGTGCAGTAATAAGCTTTACTTGTATTTCTTTTACCTCTTATCATCATTCATGGTCCAAGTGCTGGCCTCGGGGTCAACAGGAGCGAAAAGCTGTCCGTCCAGAAGTGGTGCATAGTCTCCTACTCTAACACGCAGGCAGTCCACAGTGAGCTTGAAGCGGATGTCATCTTTGGTTGTGCCTTCAGGTAAACGCACACACAAGGTCACATCCTCTTCTGTCTGCTGCCAGAAGTAGATGGGATCTGTGATCAGAAGAACAATGGGAGAAGTGACACCTGATTCAAACCAGATGTTTGCAGATGAAGACCACAATTCAATTACACTGATATCTGGTGGACCTTCACATGGTTTTTTCTCCTCTTCCTATACTAAAAAAGGCCAGGATATAATATGAATGTCATGACGTCATGAAAAACCCCCAATGGAAATTATGGCCAGTATGCCATAGAATATAAAATGTATTGTTTTTAAATGTCCAAGTAAAACTTTTTTTCTCTTTATGAACACAATATATTTTATTTAGAGAAATATTTTAAATATTTTGGAGCCGTAAACATGTCAAGCTAAATAATTCAAATGAATCCTTGACTTCTGCTGTTTTCATTAGTATCAAAAACATTCTTTTTTTAAATTTAAAACAGCATCTTTGGATATGTTTTCCATATGTTTACAGTGAACAATCTTGTTTATCTGAAAAACAATGCTGAAGTCAGATATTCTGCTTTGAAAATGTGCATTACGTGCTGGAACGTTGTCTTTGTTTTGGTTCTTTTAGGCCGCACACAGCCACTTTAGCCAATTCTATTTCAGCATTTCATTCATAAAGGCTCTCAAAGCATGCATTCATGACTGAAATGCGACCTCCGGTGGACATTAGCAGCCTCCTAAATCAGACGCAGATTTAGAGTTCCACATGAGTATATTAATTAGCAAATAATATAAGTATTACGAATGCAAACATTAGATGAGTAAGTTACATTGTAACCTCATGTCCTAACAACAGGCTACGTGGAAGCAATTTGGCTGTTTGAACCAGACGAAACGAATTTTCTTAGAAAAGCTTTCTTAGCATTTAACGTTGAATAAAGCACATGAGGTGTACCTGAGGTGCGTCAAGGTTTTCTGTTGTTCAGCGCTAACATATAGAAGCCATTTTTAATATGTCAATTCGAGGAGCTGGTTAGAACAAACACTCTATTTAATATGGAAAATATTCTTTCTATTACTTGCCGTTGCTTTTATTCAGAAAACGATTTAAAGCAGCCTTAAATCAGCCTTTAGGTTCGATAGACAGGCACACTCCTGTTGGTCCTCAATCTAATCTACCTGCACTTGCATTTGTTTTGATCCAGGAATGCAATACCTAGGTTAACCACTGGGTGTCAAACTCACATAATGCACCTTTAAAGCACTCAAAAAAAAGGGTTTTATTATGAAGGCTTGTCTTTTCAATTCCATTGTCCTTTCATAACATCATTCAGTTAAAAACAATGGACCCTCGCCCGTCTCTCGCTAAAATGATCTAAGATGATTTGGCAGATCCTAGATCATTTAATCTTGATACTGATCTCTAGCTTTTTTGGTTCTTCAAACAAGTTTGTGAATCAGATTAAAATGTCTGGATGAACTAATCTGGAATCGCTGCGTGTGTTGTGAAGGACAGATCCATCAATCCTCGAAATCATGATCAGCAATGCAACGACTGGCGGACGGCACAGCAGCGTAATGACATCATCTAAATAATTTTGAAATATCCATGTGAGCTAAATTACTTAAAATTCGTAGTAAACGGTTTGTTAAATATGATACGAAATAACTTTACACCTTGTTATGGGCTGCATGCTTGGCCCTTTCATGTGTCAAGAGCAATTCATTTAGTTTTACAGTTAGAGCGGATTTTTCTTATTAAAGTAGCTATAGTAGTATTATTGTAGTCATTTCTTTTAATCGGTGTAAAGAATAACTGGATGTTTAAAAAGCATTTTGATATTGGTAAAGGCGTCTGCAACTTTTGTGAAGCATCACATCACCATCATATTAACTGTCAAAACATGTTTATGACTCCATAAATGTATTATTGCTTTTAAAACAAAGTCACATAGTGTGCATTATCATACACAAATTGAACTTAAGCGATCTAAAACGTTCATATTAATAAGTTTTCTCTTTGCACCACCAGGTGGCAGTCTTTGTACTTTCATTTCGGGGGAGTAGATTGTATACGTTTTATTAATATATATATATATATATTTTTTTTTTATTATTATTATTATTATTTTTTACTTTATACATACATAGTTAAAAAAAATATTTACTATTTTCCCAAGTGCATATAACTACTTCTGTAAGAAAATGCCAGAATTTGGTACATACTTTGAGTATTTTCTTTGCTTGAATTGACCCGATCTAATCCTGTTTATATGAAATGAGCCTGCTCCCGACCAGGTTTAGGCTACCAAAATTGTTGCTATGACAACAACTCTCGGTTTTAAAGAACGAAATGATCCTGGATCGTGTCAAATTGTCAATAACCAAATCCAGCTAACTGAGTAATCCACGCACGAAGAACGGAGGTGTGTAATGGCGCTTTGTTATTTTGACAATCTAAAATACGTTGTTCAATAGCTCAGCTAAGAGGAGGTGTAAAGTCCAGCATGGAGTGTGTTAGTTGTGCCCCTCGCTTATACATTGCTTAATACACACAGGATGTACAGCAATATGCAAATATCTTTACAAATAAAAAAGAATTAAAGAAAGAAAATACTACAAAACGTATTATTTTCTACATAAACATAAAAACCACTGCCTCCATGCCTTCTTCATGTCGAGGAGCTTTTGCAGTTTATTCATGACAATTTGCTTTTGTATAATGTTATTATTATTAGTAGTATTATTTATTATATGCATATTTATATTTGTTTTATTAAAAACAAGCTTAGATTTGCCCACCTGTCAGGTTTTAGACCATATGGGGCATAGTTTTTCAACACACTTCATTATTATTGTTCATTTATTTGTTTGCTGGAAGATAAAACTGAATTTAGAAATAGTTTTGAAAGAAATCTTTGCGCATAAAAAACAAAACTAATTATGTAGGTTAATGGATGTCTGTGCGTACAACACAATTCCCTATCCACAAGAGTGAAAGTGAAAGTAAACAACGAGGAGGCTCATTCTCTCATTCTCGAGCTGCAGATGCTGTTTAACTGTTTTCTCTCTAGCGAAGCATTCAGTTTTTCCACTTACAAAGTCCCACATATAAATAGCAAATACGCTATGACGCGACGCAACTGACTCTTAAAGGGAATGGGAGATGAGACTCTGATTGGTTTATTCTCAAAACACACCTATAACTCATTAAGAGAATAAGTTCAACCCTGTTAGACCATGTGCCATGGCGCAAAGCGGATTTTCCATCCTTACAATAGCAAAAGTTGATTCCTCAAAATAGAGCCCAATATTTTAGCTGGAAAACTTGTAACCATTGACTTCCACAGAGTTTGTTTTTCCTACTATTGAAGTCAATGGTTACAGGTTTTCAGGTTTACTTCAAAATAGCTGATTTCGTCTTTAACAGAAGAAAGAAAATAAATGTTTGGAACCAACTGAGGGTGAGCAAATGATGAGTAAATTTTCATTTTTGAGTGAACTATCCCTTTAAAACAACAACAACAACAACAATGGTTAAAACATTCAAACCATGCAGAACAATCTGTTATGAAGGCTAGTCTGTTCAACTCCATTGTCTACTACTTTCAAAAAACATTTTCAATTATGTGTGAAATTTAAGTATGATGAGTTCTAGGAATTCTAGGTCATTGTGACACTATTGCAAAAAATAACACATGAAACCTGAATATGCATGACGACCTATGTAATTGTGCCTCTATTTCACAATGAAAGTCAGAAATCTTCATGACTGAACGGAAATGACTTTATCAAGGCCATTTAACATTAGCTGACAAAAAGGTCTTTCTTTTGAGCTCTGATGGTGTTTTGAGAGTATAGGAGCAAACCAAAAAATAAAGAATAGAAGAGGTCTTATCTTTGGGTCAGATTTGGTAACTGAAAGGTCAACTGTTCAAACCATGAAATGAACCAATCACTTTTATGGCTTTGTGAAGGGCAGTAAACCTCAGGCTGCTCCCATGTATCATTAACAAATTAGTAATCTGACAGGCTGGATGACACCCAAGGCAATTGCAGACAATCTGATTTTCTGTTTTCCAAGCTCCAAGCAAAATGATGGGTTAAAAATCCACACGTAGCATGCAATTTGTAAGACTGGAGTCAATCCGTGATTACAGCATCTCGGGATTTGTTGTTACAAGGTTTATTATTTATTTAAGTTATTCAGTTAAAGTCAGAATTACTAGCCCTCCCTTTTTACTAGACACTTCAATATAGCTAAAAGTGACATTTAAAGGCTTAACTATGTTTAATTAGGTTAACTAGGCAGATTAGGGTAATTAGGCAAGATATTGTGTAATGATGGTTTGTTCTGTAGACTAAAGGAAATATTAGCTTAAGGGGGATAATAATTGTGACCTTAAAATGACTTTTAAAAACTTTAAAACTGCTTTTATTTTAGCAAAAAAATAAACAAAATAAAAATATTAATAAAATAAATAAATAAATAAAATAATAAGACTTTCTCCAGAAGAAAAACATATTCTCAGACATATTGTGAACATTTCCTTGCTCTGTTAAACATCATTTAGGAAATATATATAAAAAAGGAAAAAAATTTAAAAGGATTCTGACTTCAACAGTATGGTTTATATTTTAGGTTATACAATGGTGTGAATTAGTGTTTGCCCACTTTCTATTTTTTTATTTATTATTTTTTTTTAATTCACTAAAAACTTTAATAATTTCAAACATACTTCAATTGTAGTCAAATAAACCAAGTTAACACATCCATGCAGTTTTGAAATGAAGGATTTTATTATTAAGTAAAAGTCAAATCCAAAACACAGCCTGTTTGAAAAACTAATCCTAACACACACATGGGTTTTGGTGGTTTACAAGGCTCTCCGTAGGCCAGGGGTCTCAAACTGCAGGACCGCAGGCTAATTACAGCCCGCCCTCCTCCTACTTCTGGCCCGCAACTGAGATAAAAAAAATATAACGAGATTCGGGTCGAGAGTAACACACATGCGCTTTAATTCTGGGGCTGATTTAAATGTTAAAATATATGTTTGTAAGTGCTCTATTTTTACTAAAGCTCTATTTTTGTACA